AATAAATAAATAAATAAATAAATAAATAAATAAATAAATAAATAAATAAATAAATAAATAAATAAATAAATAAATAAATAAATAAATAAATAAATAAATAAATAAATAAATAAATAAATAAATAAATAAATAAATAAATAAATAAATAAATAAATAAATAAATAAATAAATAAATAAATAAATAAATAAATAAATAAATAAATAAATAAATAAATAAATAAATAAATAAATAAATAAATAAATAAATAAATAAATAAATAAATAAATAAATAAATAAATAAATAAATAAATAAATAAATAAATAAATAAATAAATAAATAAATAAATAAATAAATAAATAAATAAATAAATAAATAAATAAATAAATAAATAAATAAATAAATAAATAAATAAATAAATAAATAAATAAATAAATAAATAAATAAATAAATAAATAAATAAATAAATAAATAAATAAATAAATAAATAAATAAATAAATAAATAAATAAATAAATAAATAAATAAATAAATAAATAAATAAATAAATAAATAAATAAATAAATAAATAAATAAATAAATAAATAAATAAATAAATAAATAAATAAATAAATAAATAAATAAATAAATAAATAAATAAATAAATAAATAAATAAATAAATAAATAAATAAATAAATAAATAAATAAATAAATAAATAAATAAATAAATAAATAAATAAATAAATAAATAAATAAATAAATAAATAAATAAATAAATAAATAAATAAATAAATAAATAAATAAATAAATAAATAAATAAATAAATAAATAAATAAATAAATAAATAAATAAATAAATAAATAAATAAATAAATAAATAAATAAATAAATAAATAAATAAATAAATAAATAAATAAATAAATAAATAAATAAATAAATAAATAAATAAATAAATAAATAAATAAATAAATAAATAAATAAATAAATAAATAAATAAATAAATAAATAAATAAATAAATAAATAAATAAATAAATAAATAAATAAATAAATAAATAAATAAATAAATAAATAAATAAATAAATAAATAAATAAATAAATAAATAAATAAATAAATAAATAAATAAATAAAGACATAATAAAGAAGTAGTAACTATTAAACAAAAACTACCACGAAAAAATAAAATTGTATGGAACAATAATATGACGAATTACAAAAACAAAAAACATAATGAAGAAGGCCATCTGAGAATTTTTGAAAGACCAATCATGGGAACCAAAAGAGAATATGAGCAGATTATATAAGAATACAAATTTATCACAAGAATGGCCAAATATTAAAAAAGGAAAGTCTTGTTAAGTGGCCTAAATAACTATTTTTTACTAATAGATAAGAAAAGAAGAACAAAAAAAAATAGAATGAACACTGCTACACAACCAAAAGTATGATTGAAATTTCGATAGAAAGATTAAATAAGAAAAAATCTGAAGAAAGGATAATAAAAAATAGAATAGAGTAAGGGAAAGTTATCAATTAATTGAAAACACACCAAAAACTGTAAAAATACTTGAAATATAGCTAACCTAACATGAAAAATGGATTTACCTAGTTCTCACAAACAGCTTTAACTTGTATGAAAATGTTCAGCTAATTACAGATATTTTATGTAAATCGTATATAATACCCATTGTCCCAGTCGCTAAGGTTATGGCCGCAAGTTTTACATTCGTATTTAAAGTTATACGACCTCTCTCTAAAACTGGGGTAATTGCCAAAAATATCGAACCGTTCTAAACTCAGACCTTCATGGCATTAAGCTACTCATTTCGATGGAGATATCAACCGATTACTTATGTAATGCAAATGTTGTATTTTAACATTTTATTCCCATTTTAGAAGTTTATAGTTTCCAGAAGTCTGGTTTCGGCGGCATTAATTTTCAAAGATAGTGAACCGAAAGCGACCACAAAAAGAGGAAAGGCGGCGATTTCTTAGATAACTGACTGTGTTCATGAATATGTATCGCGAAGTGTTTAACTCTTACCTTTAATCTCGAAAAGAACATTAGTTCAGGTAACCGAGCGATGATTTTATTGTTTCAAATATGACGTAAAATTATCTTTGACTAGATTATTTTTATTAATCGATTTTAGTAATTTAAAATAGATGGCTCTGGTTTAAAATAACATTTGGTTGTAATGGATGCAGAATTATTATTATTACAAACGAATCAGGGCTAAGGAATGAATCCTATTTAGTCCAAAATTACATAGTTCAATAACAAAGACAACTATTTAATAAGTAATTAGAAACAATATAACAATAGAAACAAAACAATAAAAATAAACTCTCAGTTTTCATTAAAAAAGTCATCAAGTCATGTATTAGTGTACCTTTCAGTACTCTTAATTTAAGTATTTTAACGAAAAACTCTGAAGAGTTGATCGAAATACTTAAAAGGAGAATGACATAGAAAAAGCCCGGCAAGTGGTATGATCATTCTGGATGGTCATGTAGGAAATGCCATAGTCGGGTATGGTGGAGTCCTTGGGGAATTTAAATTATGAAATAAGAATTATACGGGTAAGAATATCTTAGGGTTTCAAGTATCAGACCAGATGAAATTTCTGTAAAGATCTGCAAAATAATAAATTATATTTAATGATTGATTTATTCTTTTACTTATTTTCTATATTAGAGTTGTGTTTTAATATACAAAAATGAATGGGTTGTACCAACTGTAGGGAAAAAAGTTACTATCATAACTTGTTTTAGAACAGTTCTATTAACCAGAAGTTGTAGGCCGGCTAGACAAATATCACAGTAAGAATCATCTAATAGTACTGTCTTACAGCAATTCTAGTTCCTCAGCTGGGAATAAAATCGATAACTAAATATCTGGAAACCATTGGCCTTTAACTAAAAATACGTCAACTATGTAGCAATAATGATAAATCAGCTGTCTACCTTCTCTATTAATGAAGTCACCTCATGTGAAAAAAGCACAATTAAGCTACCATTTGGGAACATGAGACCGAGGCAGGAGATAGAGGTAAGCGACCGTATAAGATGACCGATATATGTGTTTTAGGTATGAATCACATGAAAGGACATTTTGGACAGCGCAACCCATGCAAAAGACGCTACAGCACTTTTAAAACCGCTGCCTTATAGCATCTCACTGTCGCTTGCATCGGTCTTGCATTCCCAAATTATACCTTTACTTGACTATAGTAATTCTGGTACCTCTGGATATTAAAGACTAATAGATTCAGTGTTTTTTTTTGTTAGTAGAACTAAATACTGCGATTAACCATACACAAATACAAGCTTTATGGATATTAATTCATAATAAGCAAATATTATCACAAAACTAAACTTTGCACCAGAGGTGAAGTACCTAGGTCTTACTTTTGACAGCAAGTTAACAGATCCTTAAACCAAAACATAAAATGGGCTGTGAGCAATAGTGCCAGTATAGTTCAAATAGATCTCATGGGGATTCTCATAGCAGAAAAGATATCACCAGAAACAATATCACTGGAAGGAATATGCTCATCTATGCAGATAGCAGACAAGCTCTACTTGCCTTGAACACACCACGAATTTATTCAGTGTTACTACTAGAATGTCACGAAGCTTTGGCCGAAGTATCCATCAACAATGTGGTCACCTTAAGATGGGTCAAAGGTCACGCCACATCGAAAGGTAACCGTCTTGCTGATTCACTAGCCAAGAAAGCAGCCAACCAAATACTTTTTAGACCTGGTTCTTCTATTTTCATTACAAAATTAAAGAACATGTTCTTCTGAAATTCAAGAAAAGATGGGTGAAACAAGAAACTGCAGAGTTGCCAGGGAGCTTTTAATTTATCTTGACCACACTGGATCAAACAAATACTTGACTGTGACTAGACACAATCTGCATATGGTTACAGGCATTCTGATTGGTCATTGCCTAGTACAAAAGCATCTCCATATCATGGGGTTGTCAGAATTTGCACTCTGCAGGGGATTGCCTACACTTTTATTTATTAAAGTATTTTGTTCGACAAGTATCGGCTAACACTGGCCGATATAAGAGAAGCACCACTTGGCGACTTTGTCTATTACCCAGGCAGCAATGGTACGTCTTTATGACGTGATTATTAGGGAATAATTCGACAGAGACGTCATTGACCCAATTTTTCACGTATTGTAAACGTGAAATTTAGGACGTGTTTTAGACGTTTAAAAATAACGTCATATTGACGTCAAATTTTCGTTATTTTTTGTATACATAGAGAAACAGTTTATCGGTGTCTTCTTGAATTTTAAAATGTAAGTACTTGCTCAAAATAGTGGTACAGGTATTCTATCTTGAAATTTAAATTTAGAGTAGGTTTGTTCCAGTGTGATACAGAACTGTTCTGAATTTCTATGCGCATGTGTAAAATGATTTGTTGTACATTTAAATGTATACTACACATGTGCATACACATTCGGAACATACCTGTAATGCTGTTGGAACGCATCTATTATTTTATAAGAATCGTTGATCTTGTTTGAAGATGAATAACAATCGAAATATCAAATCGATTGTTCATACTTGAATTATTGTTCAATAAGAACCGATTCCACCGTTGTGTTAAACGAAGTTTTAAATGACATTTTTACATTAACAATGTCATTTTAACCTCCGTTTAACACAACGGTCTTAATAATTATAAGAAACCTGGAAATTTAGTGATCCATAACAATCGGAAATATTGGAATCGATTGTTACCGATACCTAATGCGAAACGAGAAAGCTTGTCATTTATGTCATATCCCACGTGACACGAGTTGTTCACTTCGATTTGTTCAATTGTTGCACATATTTAAAATGGTGGTGGTGCTGTCTATTTATTCTATTTGCGCGTGGGTTTACGTTTAATTGAACATTCGTTGTCGCGTTAATAATTATATAACGGTAGTGCTGAATAAGGAAAAGGTAAAAATAAACAATATGAAATATGCTTTACTTATTTATTAACAATATTTTGTAGTCTGAGATTGAACAATAATATGTACTGTCTCATAGAATTTAAGGAAAAAGACGGGGGTGGACTTGCTGTTGTATCAGACACATGGCTGACGCCCCGTAAAAAGCAGGTATATTGGCCCCCTTATAAAGATAACGGCCAATTTCGAAAGGCTTTAACAAAGGGCGAAGAGGTTAATAGTGAGACTTGGAAATTATATGATATCCATCGTACATTCTATGAATGTGGTAAGTTGTATAAGTATTTTTGCATAAGTGTAAATTTTGTTCCTACAGAAAAATAATTATAGGCTGATTTTTCAATCAAGTACACTGTACAGGCAAATCTACACCTAATTATTCAATAATTATATAAAATTAAGAGTTTGACTACTTACCAACATTAGCTTTTTACTTATATCATTTTGTGTATTTTAGATGATTATGCTAAAGCATGCATTAAATTAAAGAAGGCCCAAGTTACATCAGACATACAATCTGATGAAAATGAGGAAGTAATACAGAAAAGAAGACGTATTCCAAGAAAACTATCTTATTCAGATAGTGAAGAAGAAGACAGCTGCAAACTTCCTCGTCCTCCACCTATAAAATTAGGAAAAACTAGTACACCTGCCTTAGGTTTGTTGCTCCATAGTTTGTTAATAAATTAAATGAATGCCGTGCTTTCAAAATGTTTTTAGTAAATTTGTAACAAGTTTTATAACTTTATTTTTAATTGGGTTTTGAAATTTTAAATTTTGTAGGTTAATCTACTGAATTTCTTGTATTTAACAAAAAACGCCTAATTTCCATATACCTAAATCTAAAACTTATACACTATAAGAAATCATTTAGAAATAAACAGCCTAAACTACAATTATATCATTTTACACTTTTAGTTAACTTACTTTCGAGTACATCACCTGAAGTAACTCCTAGCAGTTCATATATTGCTTCGTCACAGGCATCGACTGATACTTCCAGAGACACAACTCTCGATAGAGCAGGTAAATTGTTTTAATGAGGTTTTGTTATAAAAAAAAACCTAATTAAATTATTTTTAGCATATGAGACACTTCTTAAGTATGTTTTAAAAGTAAAGGAGCAAAATCAACAAATTTTGTCTTTACTACAAAAGAAGTCTACAGATGTGCCAGTCTCAATGGTACCCAGTGATTTACCTATCAACTTTCCTTTAAATCTTGAAGAGGATTTAAGAAGCCTAGAGAATTATTTAAATAATAAGGAAAATTTGAATGTTTTAGTAAGTTTTATAACTTATTACATTATTTTAAGCTGAATTTTTAAAACTTAACTATTTTTTCAGATTTTGTATTTTTCACAGAAAGGGGCCAGTAATGAATTAATAACAACTGTAAACAGAACATTAAAGCATTTAATATCAAATGCACTAGCAAGCCAATATAGCTACTTTGGAAAAAGACAAAAAAGGGCTTTCCATGAATTAAAATTAAATGAACTTGTAATTGGTAAGTCTGTTTTACTAAATTACTTCTCTGCAAACAATTATGTAATTTAAGTGGGAACGATTGATTGTTAATGTGTTTTCTGTACTCTATTTAGTTACATTTGTTTACTCTGAAGATTTTTTTTCTTATATTTTAACAAGTAAAAATGTTTTGGAAATAAGTACTCTCCTAATTATATATTTAATTATGATGGATTTCTTTCTGTTATAATGATGGAAAATTTAGATATCAGTAATAATAATAAGTTTGCTAAAACAATTTAAAAATCAAACCACATACTGAATTTTATAGTCGATGATACAGCATTTTTTCCGAATTTTAAACAATATTTCACTAATTATTTTATTTTAATTTAAAAAACACTTAATTATTTTAGGTTCAGTTAAACTTAGTTGTCCTGCTTGTAGTGACAAAACCATAGAAGATGCCATAAAAGTTTGGCTGAAACATGCACCCTATCGTTTGAAGTTAACTCCAATGTAGTCAGTTCATGAGAATAGGTTTCCATTTTTTCAGTTTTAAGTATTAACAGTTTATTTGGTATATAATTTTTGTTTGTTTATTTTATTATGTCAAAATATTACAAAGAAATAGTGGGTAAACGCCAGGTGTATAGGAGGGTTTCTGCACAGCTTAAAAGTAAGGAAATAATTATTGAAAAACATACCATTGATAAATCAGAATCAGATACAGATGCTGAGTTAACACAAAACAAAAATGCAATGGTTAATGTAAACCAAGCTGGCATTGATAACAATACTAATTGTTTAGTGCAAAATTATTATAATAATGATATTTATTTGTCTGATAGCTCTGTTGATTTAAATACTCTCGAAGATGTAGATGTAAGTGTTGAATTTAATCAAAACAAATCAAATTTAGCTAATATTGACGATTCTCAAAGTAATCTAAGATTGTTATTAAGGAAATGGGCACTAAAAAATAAAGTTTCACATGTTGCTGTTAGAGATCTTTTACATATACTTACTCCATTGCATCCACAATTACCACTTGACCCTAGGTCATTGCTTGATACACCTGTTACAAATCTGTCTAATTACAAGAAGTTTAATAATGGAGAGTATTGTTATTTTGGAATAGAAAATTTTTTACAAAAGAGCGATGTAATAAATACAATTCCTAAGGATGTCTCTGATATAAAAATATCTTTTAATATTGATGGACTTCCTTTGTTTCATAGCTCTAGCCTACAATTTTGGCCGATTTTAGGATTAATTAAATTGAAAAATGATCAAGTGAAGTTTGATCCATTTGTTATTGGTATATATTGCGGTAAGTCAAAACCAGAACCTCTAGAAAGTTATCTAAAAGATTTTGTGACTGAATTGGGCGACTTACTAAGAAGGGGTTGTAATATTAAAAACAAACTTTACTCTATTAAGGTTCATAGTTTTGTTTGTGATGCTCCAGCAAGAGCATTTATAAAACGTACCAAATCTCATTCCGGTTACTCATCATGTGACAAATGTACCCAAGTAGGTACATATTATAAAAATAGAGTAATTTTTAGTGGTATTAATGCTCAGAAAAGAACTGATGAATCATTTGCTTTACAGAATGATGAAGATCACCATTTGGGCGTATCACCATTATTAGTATTAAATATTGGTTTAGTAAGCTCGTTCCCAATAGACTACATGCACTGCATTTGCTTAGGTGTAGTGAAGAAACTTATAACATCTTGGCTTAGTGGAAATTTAAATGTTAGGTTATCTGCCAAATTAACTAATAATATATCAGATAATTTACTAAGAATAAGGAAATATATTCCTGCAGAATTTAACAGAAAACCCAGAGGGTTAAATGAAGTATCACACTGGAAAGCAACAGAGTTTAGAGCCTTTCTGTTATACTATGGACCCATTGTTCTTAAAAATAATATTAATAAAGCTATTTATGAACATTTTTTACTTCTTCACTTTGGTATTTCAATTTTATGTAGTAAGCAACATATTTCTACTAAAGGTTATACTTTAGCAGAAAATGTATTAATTAATTTTGTTAAGCATAGTAGACATATATATGGACTGGAGTTTCTTATTTACAATATACACTTGTTATTACATATAACTGATGATGTAAAAGAGTATGGTCCTCTTGATTCATTCTCTACATTTCCTTTTGAGAATACCCTTGGTCAACTTAAAAACTTAATCAGATCTCCTAATAAACCTTTACAGCAAATACATCGCCGCTTAACTGAATTAAATTATTCAACCAATTCAGTGTCCATAAAACAATCACAATTTTTTCATGAACATTTTGATGGACCATTACCTTACGAATATCACATATTTACGCAATACAAAAAAATGTATTGTAATAATGGTATGACTATTTCAATAAGCCCATATAATTCAGAAAATTGTTATTGCCTTTTAAAAGATAATTCTATAGTTCAAATTAATAATATAATTACTCATGACTATTGCACTTTTCTTGTTTGTAAATCTTTTTCTGTATATAAGTCATTGTATACTTATCCATTTCCATCAAGTAATTTAAATATTTTTGCAGTAAGTGGTTTGTCATCAATAGTGCAAGTAGTAAGAATTACTGATATTTTGGCAAAGTGTATGATTTTGCCCTTAGATGATAAAACTTTGGCTTCATTTCCACTACTTCACTATACATGATTCAGTAGCTTGTTAGAAACCCTCTAATAAACCAGTTCTCTTCTCCTAAAATTTTGTTTGATATAAAATATGTTCATTTAAAATTTTAACCTAAAATTTAATGTTATAATAAAATTTGTTTTTATTTAGGGTTTGAAAATAAAAATACTTATCTATTTTGAAATATTTTTATTTATTTCCTTTTATCAAATTGACTTTAAAAACTGACATCAGATTAACGTTAGTAGGTAACGTCAAATGAACGTTAAAAAATTACGTCAAATTAACGTTAAAAGGTTACGTCAAATTGACGTTAAAACTTTTCGTCATATTAACGTTAAATGTTTTCGTCACATTGACGTTAAAATGTTACGTCATTTTGACGTTCAAATCTTACGTCATATTGACGTAAAACTATTACGTCATTTGGCTGTGACATTGTCACGTTATAATAACGTCAATTGTCCGTCATAAATAAGGCATAAATGACGTTACTAGTGCCGAAAAACTCACGTCATAAAGACGTACCATTGCTGCCTGGGTACATTAACGCTGTAGGCTAGCTCACGACCTAGGAGGTGCCTATCACCTTAAGAGGATGCGCAATGGACCTAGTAAGGCATAAGTTACAGATACTGGAACACATAATATTTTGCAATTAAAAATTCAATTCAATTCAAAAAAGTATTCAATAAAAATAAAGAATTGTAGCTGTATTTGTTTCACATATTTTTATCAAAATATTTTATGCAATATATTTGAATGGTATTACTTTTTTGTTTTTTGATCACACAATCCTCTCACGTTGTATTTTTCATCCTTATGAGTCTGTACATTTTTAATTTTCACCTCATCCTAATTCGACGTACTTCCATAGACGCTCATGATCAGAAAACGCTTCGGTTTCCCGCAAAATGCTGTTCGAAGCGACTTTATATTATTTTAATCGACGCCAAATTTCCCGGCTGTAGTTTCATGACACGTCTAATGAATTTAGTGCCTCTGCCGTTCTGCCGCTTTCTGTTCGTATTCCTGGTTACCGGTTCGGGTCCGGGAGATAGAACTTTTCATGATTAGGGTTAGGAATGCATTAAATTTTGAACCCACGGAGTTAAGCATGTTCGCAAATGTTTGTAATATCAGCTTTTTTTTCTTGCTGATATTAAAAATAATTATGTTTGTAATGATTGGTTAAATGTGATTGGGTTCCTAATGCATTTCATCAATAATTGGATGGAGATATAGAACAAAGAATTTGTTAAAGCAGCTGAAGAACATTCAAATAAATCAAACGTATTAATATTTGGACCAAAAAATAACCGGGAAGCTATAAGTCAATAAATTTACACATAAATGGTGAATACTTAGCTGTCGTAAATGAAGCAAAAATCTAGGAATATTGATGGATGCGGATTTAAGATTTGAGAATCATATAAACAAATTAATACAACGAGCCTATTTTACACTAAAAATTCTTTATTGCAATAGACATTTTCTGCCTATCCATATAAAAGTCTTTATGCGAATCTCTTGTCGATTTTTAATTATGCTGATGTTCTATACGGTCCGAATATAACTACATATTACAAGAGAAAAAGTACAAAATTCGTGTTTGAAGACAACGAATATCATATAAACTAAAACAAATTGAATGGTTGAATATGGACAATAGGATTCATCACGCATTATGTATTTTTCATAAAATTATTACCACCAAAAAACCATCATATCTCCATAGGAAGGTTACATATCGCACCGACATACATAATTTAAATGTTAGATTTAGGGGTAAAATTACAGTTCCTCGATTTAGAATTTAGTTTAGAAATCTACATTAAACATCAAATAGACTTTCTTGTGTTCAAGCAATATACAAACATTTTCGTATTCGTTAAAAAATTACCATTTAGTATAGGTTGTTTGGGGTTTAGGGGTTTAAGGGTTAAGTGGTAGAACATGCTTTGTAAATGATCAAACATTTACAAAGGATGAACTTCGCCCATTATTTCTATATTTTGTTTTATTATAAAATAATTATATTTTGTTTTGTATTTTTATAGAAATAATAAAGATGTTATTATTATTATTATCATCATCTTGTAATACAACCCAGCAACACCTGCAGCTTTTGCAGAATATGCGTCGCACTTATTACATGTGTCTTTTTTTAATGGTTTACGTGTTATATTAAAATGAGCCTAGAATACTTTTTTATAGAAAGAAAACCTAAGAAGTACTTTAACCTCACTCTTGTACAATTTGTACATGCGATCTAGGGTCATATCGAATGGCAAATATTCTCTATCTGATTGAGATATTCGTACTCTTAGTGACACTATTATCCAAAAGGAAAGCGCTCCTAGATTAACAAATAGGAGAAAAGACTGGCAAAGCTTCAGACTGGGCCTTGAACATAAAATAAATCTTTCAGTTTCGTTAAGAACAAAAACACATCTAGATGAAGAAGTAGAACTACTTGTGTCCAACATACAACAAGCAGAATGGGATAATACGCCATCTGTTGTGCAGCGAACAACAGGAAATAACTATCCTAAAAAAAAATGGACCTAATCTCTGCAAAAAGAAACTAAGGAGAAAATGGCATCAGACCAGATAATACCAAACTTAACAATGCCACCCAGTAGTTATAAAGAGAAATAAAACGAATCAAAAATGAATCTATTTGTGAGTACCTTAGTGAGTTGACAAACGATAAATCCACTGATTATTCTCTATGAAAAGCCACAAAGCGATTAAAAAGGCCCACTGTGCAGAATGCTCCAATCAGGAATACACATGGTAGCTGGACTAGAAATAATATACAAAAAGTTAATAGATTCGCAGAGCAATTACAAAATACCTTCCAACCAAATGAAGGAGAATAATTACCGAACTAGTCTCTTCTAGAGAGGGATGACTCAATTATCAGACCAACCTCTCCAAAGCAAATTGCAGGAGATATAAAAACAATACTAAGAAAACTTTGATTTAATTACAGAAGAAATCTAAAACAACTTCCAAGGAAAGTCATAAATAAACTTACACACCAGTATAGCATGATGGCTTAAAACATAAACTGAATGTGCTACTTCAACAGTTATACTCAGAGCTATTGGACTCATACATTTCAGATAAATGCTTTAGAGTAAAACAAGATGAAGCATACTCTGAATTAAAAGGAATTAAAGCAAGAATACCACAGGGAAGCGTCCTGGGACCCACTTTGTATCTGTTATACACTTGTGACATACCCCAACTAGAACTAGAGCTACATTTGCAGATGATACTGCCATCCTAGCAATAGGAAAAGATCACGAAGAAGCTGCAAATAAACTACAAACATCAGTTAATTAAATACATAATTGGACCAAAAGATGGCGTATTAAACTAAACAAAACCAAATCTGTTAATATTAATTTTATTAACAAAAATTGTCAAAGAAGACCAATTAACATAAATAATGCTCAGGTTCCTTATGCTAACTCTGCAAAATATCTAGATATTACATTAGATGCAACACTTAACTGTAAGGTCCATGTTGAAAAGAAAAGACAAGAGTTAGATATAAAATTAAAAAAATGTACTGGTTACTTGGTAGGCACTCCAGCCTATCTACACATAACAAAAGTCTATTATATAAACAAGTTCTCAAACTAATTTGGACCTACGGCATTCAGCTCTGGGGTTGTGCCAGCTACAGTAATATTCTAATAATCCAGAGATTCCAGAACAAAGTATTGAGGAACATTGTCGATGCTCATTGGTACATTAGAAACAGCGACCTTCATCGAGGCCCTCAGATGGACACTGTTGACCAGACTATCACCAGATTCGCTAAGAGTCACGAACAACGGCTCCACCAACATGAATGTTGAGGTGATCCAGCTTCTTGGCAACACCAACCTGACAAGAAGACTCGAGAGAGTGAAACCTTTTGAATTAGCCAAGTAATTATATTAATAACAAAGCAAAGCATTGTGCGGTTTATTGTTACACATTATTTTAGTGTAATTAAGTTATCAGACCCTAAGGTAGAACTTTAGTTTTTAACATTGCAACCCTAGTTAAGTTAGGTTATAATAAAATTACTCATTGATCAACTCTTGATCAGAAAAAATTCTCATTTTTTCATAATATATTTCTGTCATAATTATTTAAAAAATATAATCAAAAATATAATTAACCTATAATATATATTATTTTTCCAAATACACCTAACGATACTTAAAAAATTGAAAAAATAATAACTGTAGTATAAAAACTATAAAAAATTGTTCCAAATGTAAAACATGTTCGACACACGTTTTCTAAGCGATTAACATTTCCCATACATTTCCGTTTTGTATCCCATTGAGAGTGACGGTTTTTTTTCCTACAAATGAAAAACAAAACCCAATAATCCCAATGAATTTTTTGGATCTATAGACATTAATGAAAACGTTCGTGGAACATTTATCAACATTAGGTTCGGAAATTCGTTCGGTTAGAGATTCTGGATTTGTGGAAGTTGAAATTAACTCATTTGTTCGACATCGATTAGTTTTAAAACTGAGTCCGTTACGGAATCACGCATGGATGCTCAATTAGAGTTTCAGCGGTTTTTAGAACAAATTTCGTACGGAGACATTTGCTTATACAGATTTTCGTAAAATAAATTTCAGGTATAATACGAAAAGTACTTTTACAAATTTAGACATACGGTTTTAAGGATTAAAGAATTTATTAAGTGGCAACTACGCATTTCCTCACCTCCAGATGTAGGTTTTTGTTCCTATAGCAACGGTTTCTCCGTAACCGACTTCAGCTACACTGAAGTGAAAATTAAATGACCTGTAACTTACCAACTATGCATTTTCTTACCACGGGAATTTGGTTTTTGTTTAGTTGTTACCATGACAAATGTCTGTATGGCAACAATTTCTCTGTAACTGATTACAGCTAAATTAATTCATCTGTAACTTGGAAACCACGCATTTACTCACCACGAGATTTGGTTGTTTGATTAGTCAATACTATGTTAA